AACAACTACAACAACTACAACAACTACAACTACAACTACAACTACAACAACTACAACTACTACAACAACTACAACTACAACAACAACAACAACAACAACAACAACAACAACTACTACTACTACTACTATTACAACTGCTTGTACTGCTACTGCTCCTGCTCCTGCTTGTCTCTCCTGCTGCCCCTTGATCCCGCTGCTGCTGCTTCTGCTACTTCTGTTTTGCTCCACCCACAGCCCATCATACCCTGAACCCTAACCACGTGCTTGGGACGCTAAGGACAGCGAGCCAGAAGAGCAAGCACCGGATTGAAAACGTTGCTACATACCACCATGATGAAACTTGTTTATTTATTCTCCAGACAATGACAGAAGATCGCCGTTTCACCTTCCAAAGGAAGCATTTGCACGGAATTCGCTTCTACCTGCGGTGTGGCTCCATCGTCCTGGGCCATGCCGTGCTCTCGTCCAGAAAAGGCTCAGTCAGTTGAGGGCAGCTGGTGAGACGGGGCGAGGGGGAGGCGTGCAGGCATCAGGGCATGGGGCTGCATGTTTCCCAGTTACGTAGTGTCATTCTCAGACCAGAACAACCGATCGAAGCACGGTATGCCGGGTATGTTCGGGCGACTCGGACTGATAGAAGAAGTCGCATGTTTTCCCTTGCAGGAGCTTGCTGCAGACTTGCAACAATCGCTGGGGAGTTCACGGACTGAGTGGGATGAGGCAGGAATTGCAACTGTTCGTTGTGCAGCTAGGTTTAGAGTTAGAATGCAGTACTCGGGTATCTACGACGTGCTGGCAGATGCGTTCGGAGCTGCACGCCTTCGTTGACGAGCAGCGAGTTTTCTGCGGGTTCCTGGACACAGAGCAAAGGCGGGAGCAACTTAGGATTGGAAGCATTTTCAGATTCAAGCATTTGAGTCCAGGCATCGGCCAAGAGCTATATGATAGATATATGCCCTGAGCACCTGCTTGATGCATTTAATTTGACACCTCATACTTGCATCCTCGCACCTTGCGCTTTCGCCGTGTCGCTACGAATCCCTGCAAGTCTTGTGTCTTACCATTGCAGGTCTTATCACGACCTCATACGACAGGAGGCGGGTACACTTTGAACCTTGACTTGTGGTTTGCTAAACGTTTGTGGACTGGTTGTGAACATTCCAGGTGACATCTCTCTCACGCTTGGTTGATGCAAGCCTTCGCAGCTTGGACTGTAGAGTACAATGCAATTGAAGTTGTGTGTTAGGGGTGTTGTATCCCACATGTTTTCGCATGCACCTGGTGAGCGCATCTGTGAGCCATGGCGCTTGACTTGTAAGTGTAAGCAGCGGTATGCGCAGAGGGACAGACAAGCCAGTGAGGCGAAGCGTTGGATTTCCTGTGGGTTCCTGGGTTGCCTTCTTCACAAAAGCGCCGTCTGCGCAGCATGGCTTAAATTTCTTCTGAGGCATCGATCCCGGCCTCGATCCTGCGATGGGGTCGCCATCGTCACGCCCAACACCCGTTCAGGCCCTTCGGGCGGCAGCTGCAGCTCTGGGAAGCTCATGTGAGTTCTGTCTGCAGGTTGTAGAGCCAATGGAGCCATCGGCGTCGATGGCACAAACTGCAAGGCTCGCACTTCACCAAAAAGCTTTCAAGGCTTTTGTTTTCACAAAAGAAGAAGCTTGGAGGAGTGCTTGACAGAGTGGCGGCAGAGCTGGCCTGCGCACGCCGTGCTGGATCTGTACCGGCGTTCACAGTCGGGGCAAGCAGTGCCCTTTGTGCAGCAAAGACCTGCAGACTGCAGGAAGAAAGTCGAGCAATTTCATAGGAAAGGAATTGAATGTCACTTCCTGCAATCATCTCTTGGGGGTTCTGGTTGACAAAGTGTGAGCTGGCTGCACCAGCAGACATCCTGCAACCAACGCATGGGTTGCCACTGCAGCTGGGGTCGCGAGTGGGCTGCGCAGAAAAGGGGGTTATCATTGCAGAGGGTCGGCACATCCTAAAATTTGCCATATGTGCCTGCAGCAACAAGTCAGCGACCTGATTGGAGAGCTATCTCGTTCAGGGAAGGATCTCAAAATCCAGAACTCGCCTTCGTCAAACCGGAGCAGCGACGCATGGAACAAGGCAGCAAGTTTCGGAATGGTGTTGCAGTTTGTCTATCAAGCAGCATGGACATGATGCATGCTTCTAACTAACTAGGCCGGAGTAGGTCGGCCGACCAAGATCTGCGAGAAACTTTGCATCAGGTTCACTGTAGCATCTCCAAAGGGAACGCGGTTAGCGGCCAGTTCGACGAGCCGATCATGACTGCGAGCACAGACTTTGAGCATGGTCTATGCAGCAAGTGACCGATGTCAGCTATTGGGCCAGATACTTCAGACTCTCAGACTCCTTGGGGGACCTGGGGAGCCATGGACTCCTTCGGCTCATGGTCCTTCACTGCCGTCTGAGGCTTCTGAGGGCCGCCTGATTCGGTCTGGAAGTCTAGACGATCGAAGACTCAGGCATCTTCCACCGATCAGACCCTCACACACTCGGTTGACGGTTGGGGTTTAGGGTCTGAGGGTCTGGGCTTGAGTCTGTGTTTCTGTTGTTGCGTTTGCGTTGCATGCTCTCTCGACAGGAAAGTGCTTGCTATACGAATACAAAATACAAACAGGCGAGGAGCATGACGAAGGACGACGAAGAGGCAGAGGAGGAGAAAGCTGCGACCCCACCGGTGCCATTCTGAGCAGAAGTTTTCGGCAAGGAGTCGTGTCTACGTCAAAGTTTGTTTCCAGCCCTTATCCAAAGCATTTTTCTTGTTTTGGCTTTTGCCGGGGTCGGGAGTCTTTGGAAGATTTTTCTAAGACTGTGCAGTGTCTTGCGTGGGATCTTGTCTGAAATCGCGAGACCCCCCCAAGAGTTTGTAGTTTGTGGAGGGCATTGTAGGACCTCCTCGATGTCATTACCTCTTGCTGCGATCGTAGGATTCTCGAATTTTCTGGTCTCTGCTTGGGGTCTCTTCGGGGTAATTCCCCCGGTTTCGGTTCGTGGTGTCCACCCCAGTTAGGGTCACGTTTGCTTTCCTGTGACACTCTATGGACTGTTATCGCTCTCCTGCAAGGTATGCCCCAATACAGTAGCCACTCGATTGGACTGGGTTTCGAGCCAGCAGCTTTCCAGTGCTTGACCACCTAGCAAGCGGGTTCGGGAACAGGGACGACTTTTTATACAGTCTTCGAAGCAATGTCTGGGGCCAGGCCGTTGCACGTATGGCTTGCAAGATTTCACAGTTGCCTGAAAACGATTGATTTGTCTGCTTTGGTCCCCACCACTCAAACAGCGCATGAACGCGTAACGTGTTTTTGGCGACGTTTCCGAGTGCTGTTTTTTTTTTTTCCTCAGGGTTGCATCTTTTCTTTGGAGGGGGGTGATGACGGTGCGGGGGGTGATGACGTCCATGTGAGGCCTCCTTTTTCAATGACCGCTTTTGGCCAAGCGCTTCTCATTCTCGGTACCGCCGTGTCCACATCTCTGACGCCGTCTCAGAGGTGACGAGCTCAAAAACTCTCACAATCCCGTGCTAATCATGTTTGCATTGGCCAACCAACTTCCCGCAAGAGTTTGGCTCATGTGTTTTGAAGTGCTGGAAGAAGCAAGGCTCAATGAGGACATACCTGACCTTCCTGAAACTTTCTTTCCTGGACAAAGAAACTCGAAATGCGAAATGCCGGAAACACCGAACCCAAATCACCCCTGTTGGTGAACCCGCTGGGAAGACCCAACAACGAACCACGCGAAGGCACCCAGCTAGGCTGATGTTGAAAAAAATCTGCAGCATTTCTTGAAAGGCCACTGCCACTGCCCATTTGCTCTCGGCTCTTCTGTGATCTGCAGACCTTCTTGACACTTTGTGGGCTGCTGAGGTGGTGCCCAGCATCGCGATACCCATCCCGGGTGCGGAGCCTGCCATTGGACCACAGGCGCATACGTTGTCTCTTCGAAACTGTTGTGGTTCTCCCTTGCATCCACCATGTACAGTGGCTGTGTCCAACCGGAATCAACTGCAGCATGTCAACGGTGAAGTAATCGCAATAAATGGTGGAAGCATTCGCGGCTTCGCCGAGCTGCCACAGTGGCGGCTCCTGGTGCCCTGCAGGTGAACTCGCTGCGACCATCCTCGGCAAGGTGCAACCGTCTTGACAGGAGCTGATGGGACTTGTTCACTATCAAGGGAGAACTGCATCGAACGGAAAAGCAAAAGCCATGAAGATTCTGGGATCGGATGGTCAAGGTTTATCTCCCAGATGTTGGTGAAGCAGTGCCAACAACTAGTCAAAATTATGTGTTCCTGAACCCAGCAGCTGCTACACGGGCCACGAAGTACGCGTCTGCATGATCAGCTTGAAAAACGAGCTTCTTCCTGTAGTCCGGAGCCCAGCAGTATTGGCTCAAGTCCCCCATCCTCCTGAGTTTCCTATCAGAGCTCTGTTGGACCATGACCATATCGCTATTTTGAAGACCGAGTTACCTAGATACTCGTAGATAGCTGGGTAGATACATTGTTCCATGCCTCCAAACGTATAGAGCGCTTGCTCCGGCCTCATGAGGGCCTGGTTATCGCTGGAAGCGCTTTGCGCACTGGCGCTGGCAGACTTGGGTGCAGCGCGCACCTACCACACGCATCTCGAAGCCTCAAGCAGGAAAGGGCTCAATCTTTGGGCCCTGTGGGCATCCGTAGAGTAGAGAAACATAGAGAAACTGTTAAACTCGAGGAGAGACTCCACCACTGCCATGTGTGGGCACGCACCCGCTAAGATGACGTGGTGTTTACAGGCATCATGAAGTGCCTTTCGCATCCTTTCGTTTACAACTGAGAGCGGGTAAGCAGATGAGTGTTTGGTGGTAGCAGGCGCAAGCTCGCCTTAGGGCACCGGTACCCTCGGAAATACCAGATGCAACAGGCAAAACCACAGAGAAACCCTGCAACCAGAAGCAAGACGGCTGCCCGCTGCAATGGTGTAGGATGCAACAATGCCCCATTACCTTTGAGAAGTGGGGCGGTCCTCCGTTCACCACTATAGTCACTAGACTCTGGCTCCATGCGGCTTACATCCGGGCACAAGAGCTCTTACTCCGTCTTGGAAATGCCATGAAAAGCCAGACGACTGCACAGAAGAATTCGCGCTCCAAGATACCTGGATCTGTCAAGACGCCCTGGCTTGAGACGGACGGTTGCGCGCCCAGATGGCACGCTTCTCAAGCTGGCACTGGTGGACAACTGCACCAGCGTAAGGGCACCTCAGTTGAAACTTCCTCATGGTGGCCTGTAGCCAGCCCTTGCGTTTCCGACCCATAGGGCGTAGCTATGGCAGGTTCCGACAGAACTTTCAAAATCTCATAGAGTGTCGCAGGCAGTGGCGATGGACATGGACGAGACGCTGATCGGCGAAGTAGACGTTTCGGATGCAGTGCCTTAGCCCAGCCAGGCTGTTGTTCCGACATGTATGCGCGGCCCTGCGTGGGGAGCAGCAGAAAAGTGAAAATTATCTTCAAGCATCTTCGAGCGATGCCTCGGGAAAGCTCAGGATACGCAAGCCCGACTGCTCACCACGGAGTTGGAAGCCGCTTGCAAACCAGTTGGCTCCTTCTCTCTGGCTCTCGAGTGCGGCCATTCCGCATCCTGCAATGCAGTTCGCAAGGTACACGGGCTGACAACCTGGCGCTTCCCAGATGAGGACCTGCTCGTCTGGTACAAGCAGATCGAGATTTGAGACTCTACACCTGGAAGTCCAGGACGCTCTAGCCCGGTGGCAAGGTCCCTGGAAGCGGGGCGTCCATGTTGACGCCTGTGCACAGCCGGAGGAGTCTGGGTGCGGCAAACGTTCCCTCACTCCCCTGATTCCCATCTTTGCATTTCTCTATTGACTTTGGGCGGGGCTGGCGGCACCGGGTTCTTAGAGCTAGGACAGCCGCTGCTTGATGTTCATGCAGTTTGTAGTCAGATGCTTCAGACCCTGCTATGCCATATGCCCTCGGCACAGCAGAAAGGTGCGGGCGGAGAAGTGCAGCTAGAGTACTATCCAGCACAACTAGCCTCGACTTATGCTCAAGTGCGGGAAGGCTTTTCTATCGGTTTTCGGAAGTTGGATGGATCCATTATAGGGGACTCCATTATCGAAGATAAGTAACGCAGCCGGATAACGTCAGGTAGCATTTTCAATAAGAGACGTGCCAGCTGACTCAGGACACCCATCTAACGCAAGCCTTCGAGAGCCTCTTCAGCAAGCTGCTGCCTGCTGCGCGGTCCAGACAGAGGCTTCTACAAGTTGGGGATCTGCGCGACTCGAATGAGGAGGATCCTGCGAGGCTTCTTGCACCTCGAAGCAATGCGAAGCAGAAGAAGCACCCTGCAGTTTCGACCCATGAAACTGGCATCTAAAGAAACAGATCCTGGTAAGGTGCAGCGGCACGGTCTGCAAGGAATGGTAGCAGCCGGCAGCAGACCATCTGAATCTCCAGAGACCTGGCGCCAGGGGCCGCCACGAAGCGTCGCGCAGTTCAGCTTGGCTGTGTGAGCTTCAGGGTGTAAATTTCAGAACAGAGGGCGAGTCGATGGCAAGTCTCTGCATTTCGGGCCGGGGTCACAGCCGTCTTGTTTGATAGTTGGGCCTGTTTCGTGTCCATGTCCTTTTTACTCCGCGGGATTGGGACCGCCACTCCAGGGTTGTTTCACCTTCGTAAACCTTTTGTTGGTACGTGAGGATGAACCCAGACACAGCAGAAGCTGAACTTAAGAAATCTTCCGCACGCAGATTGATGTCCCAGGCAATCGACTTTTCCCTGGAGGGCGGAACTGAGCTTGCCCAGCAGCTTGGCGAGTGGGCGCAGGCATGACATGCCTCGAAACAACTTCTTGGCGGGTAGATCAGAAGGTATCGCTTGCGGGAACGGATTGTTTAAGGGCATGCTTGTGTTCAAGCACCGGTGTTTCTTTGACAGGTGGACGTGCTGCGCATGGACCAGGGCTTGCCAGGTTCCTGCATGCTGTTGAGAGGTTTGACGCTTGGTCCGCATTCCAAGATGTTTGGGTGCCTCTTCAAGTTTGTCATCGCGATGCTTTAAGTCGTGAGGCTCAGCGGCGGCCTCTCCGCTCGCATGATTCTCAGCTTCACCAACAGCCAATTCCCACCTCCGCTGCGCTACGTGGGCATCGCCGAGGAGCTTCCTGAGTCGCTGCAAGGCTGTGCTTTGACCGTATTAACCGTCTTTCGTAGCGCTTTTGTTCACACGGTTGAAGGGTCAGCACCAACCAAGGTTCCCTGAGCTACCTGCAAGATACTCTCAAGAGAGAGGGGTTTCGACTCCAACTGCTATCGGGGCCATACGCAGCCTTCGTGCACGACGACCTGCTGGCGAACGCTGAAGGGCTTGCCCCTGATGTCGATGAGTTTGCTCCTCGAGTCCGTAAACACATCAACTTTTCGATGCATCACGCAATTGTCTGCTTACTGGCATTTTTTCTGTGGACATCATCTGTATTTATCACTTAATTTCTCGGTGATGCAATCAGGAATGCTATCGATCCAGCCGCATTTGGGGCTTTGAACCTGATTTTCCAATAGACGTGGTGCGAGACTGGTTCTTCGGCATTGCAAGCTCGCGTGCTGCGTCACAGGCCAGGCAGCTGGAGTTTCTTCTCCCAGTCATGGTTCTCTAGTTAGCCTTGTGTAGCAGACATCCCTGCAGGAGGTTCTCAGCCGCAGTTTCGGGAATGTGTCTCAACTGGTTGGCCACCTGCCGATGGAGAGGAAGCCTGGATACCTTCTGTATCTCTAGCGGCAGCAACTGGCAGAGTATGGCCAGCGAATGGTGGTGGGTGCTGTGATGGAGGTGCTACATTCGCGTTTGCAGCGCGTTTCGCGAACCACCGACAGAAAGCACGGGGACTCTGAGGACGTAACGTTCCGGCGAAGCCGGAAGATCCGCTTTACGTGTATCAAGTTTTGAGTTGCCCGCAGCTTTCCGAGTCTCGTGAAGCTGCTTGGGTGTAGAGTTTAGTAGTGCCTCTGTGCTTGCTCAATTTCGGCAGACATGAGCGAAACCTCGGCCAGTCACAGAGGATAGCCGAACGTGGCTGCCCATGCTGCCCTGCGAGCCCGAGCACTGAGAATCACATACCCGTTGAGGGCGTCGAGCAACGGAGCAAACTAAAGAGCGGCCTGTTCATAAACCAGACCGGGAGAAGTAAAGATCCAGCGCAGATTGGGGATACCAGGTACTCCTTCGGAAGAGACAGGAAGAAGGATGCCTGGGGTGGCGAGGCGGGCTCTGAGGGCCTTGCAGGGTCTGTCCATGAGCGCATCGCTTCAGGGCACCCCGGGCCCGGGCTACTATTCCTTGGACTATGCGAACGCGCTGGTCTGTTGGAGCCTTAGGCCCCCTTAGGCCTAAGTAGGCCCTAGCACAAGCCAGGATGGCTCCACCGGCTCACGGCACCTTTAACCAAGGTGCTTCGGCTGCCAGTATGGGAACTGCTGCTGCGCGGTCACACTGTAGCGAGACGTCAGAGGCTGAGGAAACTGTGATCTGGTTACGCTTGATTGCTGCGCCATAGTTGCATTGATGTTGCGTGCTTTTGTGGTGCATGATGTCGGTGTTTGGACTTCAGGCGGCGATCCATGAAGAAGGAGAAGAGTGTGGGGAGCTAAGCTTTTCGTCGCCGCTTCAACTGCAGGGATCGGCTGGACAGCAGGTCTGGGTTGGTTTCTGTGTCGACGTTGTGGACGTTGTTGGACGTTCAACGAATCAATGAAGGTCACTGCAACGATATCCGGACCATGCTCGCTCTAAGGTATGACTGGCAGCCTTTGTCGTCTTGGCTCACGTTACCCCATGTACCTTCAGTTCCGACTAAACCTCAGGATCCCAACACGCACTTGCACGTGATGGAGGCCTGGGTGACTTCGCCCCTTCCTTAGCGCCAAGCCCAGTAGCATCGGCTGCTATGAAAGAGCCTGCTTGTGCAAGCGGACTCTGAGAGATGTAGATGGGTATCGCCTGGGGCAAGGCCCGGCAGCTAAGAGCAAGAGGCCAGCGTTCTGTCGACCTCGGCTCTATGGGTGGAGGTTGAGGCAAACGCTGGCCCGCTGCCAGAAGGATCGCGGAGCACGCGTGCGGGAGTTCATGAAGAGATCGACAGCTCATGCAGGCTTTAGGCTTGTCATCTGCAAAACATCTGCCGGCGGAGGAGCAACAGTGACGTCGAGTGAACCTGCCGCCATACAAGGCCTCTCACAACGAAAACAAACAGTGCTCAGTAGTTCATAAGCTGATGATCAGACTGCCCCACTTGTACTGTGTCAAAAGATGACAATTGATAACACAGACACTCATCGTGTGCAATATGAAAGGGAACAGGGGAACCAGAACAAGGGTTTAAGTCCCGGGTCTTTGTCACAGTATATATGTACTCAGAAGAATGTAATAAAGAAGCACGATAAACCTTGTGGCAGTCACGACCAGGATGAATTTACGGTGGTTTCATAATTCAACATCGCATTCGAAATTCCTTGCCATTAGGTGCACCCTAAACCCTAAACCGCTACTGAGGACAGCAGCCGGTCCCAGTCCTCGTATCGGTTTTGGGACAGAGACTCGCGAGGCGCAGGCGGGATGAGTCTCTGTCAGCAAAGTGGCGCAGAAGCGCCAGTGTTGTCAGCGCCTCCACAAAGTAGAGTGTAGCAAGCTGGAAAAGTCGTGATGGTGGTACAGCAGAATGATCAGAAATAATGACAGCAAGCGTGACTGGCACCTCGCAGAATCAGGTCTCCGACCTGGAGCTCTTGCGAGCCTGTCCTGAGTCCAGGCTCCCTTTGGATCGCTGGGTGAATTAACGGGAATACAGAGCGGATTATCAGACGTGGTGGTCTCTCTGCATTATTTTGCCTTTGCATACAATGTGCCTAGATGACCTGAACACTGGTAATGGCACGCTGCATGCAGATTGAGTCCCCAGAGGGTCGGTCGAATGTACCAGAACATGCCCGAACACTGCTTGGCTCAAGCGAAACTATCGTGGCACTGCGGCTTGTTTGAGCCAATCCACCAAGAGGCTAGAGGACCCGGTTCTTGCAACAGAGCCCCACAAGAAGAAAGCGCGTCAATGATCATCCTCAGACCCAGCCATTTTTACCAGAAAATGAGAGCCGTTTTCAGCTGTGTATCATGCATCTCTTAGTTTCAGTGGCTCAAAAGCTCATATAAGTCCCTTGACGATGTCTTCGGGAGACAGAGAGTGAGAGAGAGAGAGAGAGAGATCTGTCTTAGGGCAAAACGCTGCGCTGCAAGTGACTGACGCACTTTGGATGATTACTTGTTTTGTGCATATTCTTTCAGTCGGATCTTTACGGGGAGTTTACCTTGTCAGTGGCTCATGTTGGCAGCTCAAGGCGAATCGCGGCGAATCTGCTTGTTTGCCTGTGCTGAGACACGTCCCCATAACAGATGGGGGACGCCTGGAGCGCGGGGAAAGCGGTCGCTCCCCTGCCGCCGCAAGTCTGCAACGTAATGCTTCCCACAGCATATGAAGGGCCCCTGGACCGCGGAGGGGAGGGTCGCCCTTGTGAAAGAAAGATTTAGGTTTCGCGTGAGCGGTTCCTGCAACTCCGGGGGCAGGTACGGCTCCGGCCCGGGCCTGGTGTACCACCCGGACTACAGGATCCCCGGGAACGGGTCGACTCATGGGGCATTGGGGAGTTTTTGGTGGGGTTCATGGGGCCCCAGCCCGGTACTTGCGAGGAGAGTGCGCCCTGAATCGGCTGGCCGAAGCTTTCCTCGCGACAAGTCTGGCGTGGGCCTGTCGCATTCTTTCGAGTGTTTTTTCAGCAGGCGATGCTCTCCAGAAAGGATCAGTAGGGTAACTGCAGGGAACTTGGCAAGCGACCTGTGATGCTTGACTTTGCGCGATCACCAGTGGTATTTCCACATCATTGCGGTCGTAATACTTCTGTGGAAATCTTTCATGAATACGCTGGCTCGAAGCCACATCTAGCCTTTCTCGAGGGTTCGATTGCGATTTGTCTGCCAGGGCCTGGCCAGCAGCGCGGGAGTAACGTCTGGACAAGTGGCGCCGTCTTCGTATCAGCACCACGATCAGGAGAGATGTTCATGTTGCAACAGTTTCCGATGTCATCCTGCACGGAAGGCCAGACAGGACCTGTCATGTGGACAAAGCAAGAGCTCATGCCGGGAGTCTGCTAAGAAGAGCGGAGACTGGTCAAACAGCATGACGACGGCGGGAGTAGTAGTAGGAATCTTCATGTTAACAGTAGTTACTCATTTTGACAGGGAAACTCAGCAAAGCCGAATACACCGAAGCCCTAGTTCCTGTTCCTACGGGAGTGGGCCCTACGACAGCCCCGTGACAACCGAAACCAGGCAGCATCCCGACTATGCGGCTTCAAAGTCAGCCGGCAAAACCGACACCGCCTAGTTACTTAGTTCTCCCGGCAAGTACTGTGCGGCACCAGTGCTGGGTGGGTGGGAGTGCTGGTGCTGGCAGAAGGTCGCGATCCTTGTCGTTCTTCTGCTTGGCTCTTAGGGCTTTACTTTTTGGGTTTCTGTATGAAGTAGGATAAAAGTTTAACTTTTAGGAGGGGTTCAGTAGCAGTAGTAGTAGTAGTAGTAGTAGTAGTAGTCGTAGGAGGAGGAGGAGGAGGCGCCCCCTCCTACCAACCACCTCTCCTAAACGTATAAGAGCGCATCCATTTTACTCGGTATTTATGATAAGTTCGTGATGTCGTAGTCCAATGCCAGCCACCGTTCGCTGTTGAGGGGTGGGGGGGTGGGGGTGGCTAGTAGCAGCAGTAGCAGTAGCAGTAGTAGTAGTAGTAGTAGTAGTAGTAGTAGGAGGAGGAGGAGGAGGAGGAGGTGGAGGTGGAGGTGGAGGTGGAGGTGGAGGTGGAGGAGGAAGTAGCAGTAGCAGCAGCAGCAGCAGGAGGAGGAGGAGGAGCAATCGCTGGAGCCGTCAGACTAGGAGAAGCAGTCAGTAAAAGTTGCCGTCGCTGCCACCGGGCAGAAACACCACGTTACGGTGATATAGTTGGTGAAGCGCATGCTCGGTGCCTCACGTTGTGGGTGCCGCTTCGTAGTTTTCCGCTAGAAAGGCTACGGATGACACAGAGAAGCCGATGACCTACGATTGCTGACCAGTGTGCGGCTGCAGGAGTCCATCTCCGGAAAGCAGCTTGACTCCCGCAAGAGGACTGTTGCACGTACAGTTGGACAGCTGCTGTGATATCATTCGCTGCTGGCTCCGATCTTCCGCATCTGCAGGCAGTCTGCCACAATGTTTTATGGCCCTTGCAGGACCGGTCCAGCTTTCTCATTCGGGCGGGCTTCTCGCTTCATGGTGCACCCTCCTCTTCATTCAAGTCGGCTGCCTTCACACCCTGGCTGTGTGTTGAGTCCAGGCTGTCCAGGGTATGAACAATTGCGAGATCCCGCGCTGCTGGTATATTGCCTTGCTTTGCAAGTACTTGCCGAACGTGTAAAGGAATCTGCGGGAGCACGTTGCCTGGGGAAGCATGCAGCCGTCCTGACAAACACCGAGAAGGGACTCGTGATTGACACTTTCCGCAAGTGCAGTGATAGCGCGTGATTTTGGAATGACAGTCCTGAGCTGCTCTGCCCTGCTATCCCTGCTGTCGCAGCTTCTGGCCCAGCAGTTGCAGCTGCCTGGAAGCCTAGTCAACTGCCGACCTAGCAGACCCTATTTGCGAGCTTATGTGACTTAGTCGACGCTTGCAAGACCGCATCATGACATAAGAACAAGCTCGCGGCATATGACTGTAGGAAATGCAGTGATGCTGCTTAGCTGCTTAACACGTGTAACGCAACGAGTGCGACTGGGCCATAAAGGGTTCATGAATAGCCACGACAGCCTATTCTGATCGGATCATGACAATGCAGTGGAGTCAGCCATTGCGCTGCCGCAAAACTTGATGCAGGCATGGTTGGGGGAGGGGGGAAGGTATTTGTATCGGAGCTTGCTCGATCGAGTTTGTTCAGCGGTTTCTGAACTTCCAAAGACGGAGCTTCTTCCAAAGATCAAATACCTGCGATGGACTAACTAGAACTCGTCTGCTCAAAGTCTCCATCGGATTTGCAGGCAGCGCCGCCCAAGCCTTGGGAGAGGAACGGCAGGCCGGCCTGAGAAAGGCACCGTAACAAGCGGCCTGGCGTGTCTCGTGTTTCGGCAGGCGTCTTGTGTCTTCTACTTCCCCACCAGTCGCTGCATCTGCCAGCCGCGATCTTGGCGCACTCTTCTCTTTCTGCGCTGTCTTTGAGGCACAGTTTTGACATGTTGTGGCGATGCAGCGGATACTCGTATGGTGCTCGCGCCCCATGATGCCCCATGCACATGCGGCATCATGGCAGTTTCTGGGCCGGACTTTCACCTTCCGAGTGAACGACATGACGAAACAGCCACGTGCGTGAGGCACCCCGGTCGCTCCGGCTGCTGACACAACAGCCACGCCTGCTGCAGCTGCCACTAGCACGCCGTCAACGCCCAAGAGACCGCACTGGAATTGACACAGAGCTGTGCTGTAAACACAATTCTAAAGCCACGCCGCCCACCTCGGCCTGACTGTGGCGGCAGCATGTGTCTCTGAGTCTTCAGCTCAGGGACCGAGTCTCGAAATTGGAACCAAAAGAAGATGTCACTTTTGGGCTGCAGGGAGGCGGATTCGATGGTGGGTGCCACGGATTCATGTTGCTTGTGTGTGTGTGTGTGTGTCTAACTGTTTGGGATAGCCCATGCGAGCCAAGAAGTTTGACTGGTTAGACGCAGTACCAGTACCTGAGTCATTTTAGCGGAGCAGCACTGTGACACAACCTCGCTGATTGCCGAAAGGGGGCCAGGTGGAAGCGGGGGGGGGAGGTGGGGGTGCGGGAAGTGCCTGAGGCCTGTGGCCTCGGCGGACTGGTTGGGATAGCCCACGTGAGCGAAGAAGTTTGACTGGCTAGAACAGTACCAGTACGTGAGTCATTTTATTCTCACCGAAAAAAGCCTCAACACACACCTGCTCTGCCGCAGAGCTTGCATGGCATCTACTTCTAGCTGATTCTAGCTGTAATGTGACCTGTTTCTAAAGCCTCTGCCATGCAGTGGCACGACTTCAGCAGACAGATGACAGGTTGGCTCCTTCGTCCTCGTATGCAAGCGGCAACATGTGCTTTGGTCGCACTCCATAGCAGAAAGTGGCGTTTCTCTCATCGTGTGTCACAGCATCGGCACAAGACTTGGAGACTCGATGATAAGGGCTAGGGTCAGAAATGGCACCAAGTGCTCGAACCCCTGCAGCAGTCCCTTCTGTATGGTTTTTAAGAGCGGTGCCTGCAGCAAGTGTGAGAAGTGAGTTCGTGCCATGTGGTCAGGTACGGCAGCTCTATGTACGGCAACTCCATGTGCGCTACAACTAACAGGGCTTCCGACAGTATTCCGAGTGGCATGCGGTCCATTTGAGGGGCACTGGGCACTTGCACTTCAACATCTGGCACAGTTCAAGTCCGGCCAGTTTGCAGGTACGGAAGCAGCTACGGTGGATACGGAGGCTATGGCAGCTCCATGTATGGTGGATATGGAGGCTCCATGTATGGTGGCATGGGGTCAATGTATGGGCCCAGCACTTAGCACAAGTACTATGAGAATGGGTGAGCCAGTGTGAGCCTTGTTCTAAATCCCAACATGTCTGGCAACAGAAATACGGCATGCATATCGAGAGTCGACATGCTTGGAGCGCCAAGCGGAACACCTCTCATGTGAAAGGGCTAGTGATAGTGTAGAAAATCTACACATCGTCTGAAGCAGCACAGCGGTGATCAATCAGTACAATCAGGGCAGATGCGGAGCTATTCCGAATGCGTGTCCGAGGCGAGGAGGTATGTACGGCAGCTCCATGTATGGCGGTTATGGTGGTGGCATGCAGCTCGGCACCCAAAGCTAAGTAGTAGCAGTAGTAGTGCTAGTAGTAGT